GCCCTGAAAAAGACAGAAGCCATCAACTAGAGAAATCCTAGTGATAAATTTTTCTTAAACTTCCTTTAACCTATCCAGAAATACTTGGAGAACTGAAACTTTGGAAAGACAATGAGGAAACATAGGGCCATGGAAATTAAAATGTATTATTAAACAACTGGTGACTTGACAAAACAAGCAGGGGTGTTAAAAGGAGATCTTAAATAGTTAAACTGCACCTAAAGTCTCATTCTAGTCTAGAAAATTAAAAACTGAAAACAAAAATCCATGTGAAAATACACAACCAGGAACAAAAACTTACGCGGCAGTCTGCTTTCGACTTCCTCAAAAAGTAGGCCTGGCATTTCAGGAATAGTTATGACTTCATCTGTTATGTCTGGAGTTTCCCAAAAGCCACAGGAAGAAGCCCACCTTTCCCTAATCAAATGACTATAGCACAAACCAGGCAGAAGTCTGATAACAAAAGGAAGAAACGCTCTATACATCACTTAAAAACTGGTCATTTGAAGGACCAGCGGTTAGCGTAATAGCTATGTCGCTGGACTCCCACGTAGTCGACTGCGGTTCGAGTCCCAGACCCGGTGGCTTAAACTCACGTGGAGCGCATGTGCGTACATGCCCAAGATCCCGAGAGGAGAATGGAGGAGAAGGGATTGTGGTGTGGCCATCCCCCCTGGGGGATGATTTCTCGCTTCCTGTCTCTCTGTCTCTGTCTGTCTGGCGAGCGCATGTGCCCTATAGCAAAAACCTCTCAAAAAAAAAAAAAAAAAACTGGTCATTTGACAGGCTGGCTCCATGGCATGGCAGTAATGCACTGCTCAAGAGAAGGTGGGACCCATATGCCCACACTGGTTTCCAGTTGGCCTGAAACACACCGGAAATACATGTGAGTGCCCAGGCCCCCATAGGCCAAAGGACTGAAGGAAGGGACATGTACATAACCAGACTCTGCGGAAAGAGAAGGGATAAGAGCATAACCAGACTCTGTGGAGGGTGCTCCTCTTTCTCCCCTGGTCCTGACTCTCATGTGAGCATGTACACATTCCATCACGAAGAAAGAAAAACTGGCTAGAAAACCTAGTCATTTGACAAAATAAGTGGGAGATTAAAAGCAGGTATCCGAGGACCAGCAGATGGCATAACGGTTACGTCACTGAACTCCCACGTAGTTGACCGTGGTTCAAATCCCAGACCCAGTGGCCTGAAACTCATTGCAGGCACGTGTGTGAGTGTGCCCAAAAATCCCAAGAGGAGAATGAAGAAGGGAGTGCAGTGTGACCATCCCCCCAGGGAGTGATTTCTCACTTTCTCTCCCTCTGTCTCTCTCTGTCTCTGGAATGCTTTCTTTTCTCCCCTTTGCTCTGTCTCTGTGTGGGGATTAAAAGCCCCCTTTAGAAAAAAAAAAAAAAAAAAAAACACCACACAAAAAAATTCATTTCAGCTGCTATAAGTAATGATAATTTAGTTATACCATTGGTGTACATTTCATAAAATATATCACAATTTATTATTTTACTGTTATTAAGCATCTGAATTATCTCTAGTTTTTAGTTGTTATAAATATCTCCAAGCTTTTGTCCCCATCTCCCCATCTTCTGGTACATGAATGTATACATTTCCATTGGGTAGAATCAATAAGTAGAATTTCCAGGAACAGGGTATTCTTCTGTTCAGCTTTAGTAGGCCAACCCACACGGTTATCCTTACCTGGACCCGTCCAACTGGCATTGCACAATTTTTTTAATAGAAGAATTACATTTTAATCGAACCCAGTGTGGTTTGACTCCTCGCTGTGAGGGTTTGGTCATGGATGTTCTGGAGGCCAGTACAGTGTCCTTCATCTATTCAGCACACAATAAACGCTTCCTGAATCATAGTTAACTATACGACCTCAGGCAAGTTACTTATTTCCCCTGAGCCTTGGTTCCCTCCCTCATGGAAGAATGGAGATAATTGTGCAGCAAACATCAATCAGGTCACCGCTAAAAGTATCAGTCTTTCCTGTGGGAATGGGAAAATCGTATTTAAACTGTCCAGTGCTGCTACACAATAAAGTATCATTATTAACTTCCATTACTATTCGAGAGCTTTAGAGACTCACCTTACTAAAAATAAAAGAAAAAAATCCAGCATTCTCAGAATGGCCCTACACATAAACCACCAGTGGAAAAAAACAGGCACTCAAAAAACACCAGACACTCAGAAATACCTGGCCCATCATAAGCATCAAGACGAGGAAAAGACTTCCACAGAAAGAACGAAAGACTCTGAAAGTTGTCCCAGCCTGCATGGCACAGGCAATAGGTACTGACCCACGGTGCTGGAAACCACTGATTGACCACAGATTCGGATCCTAATTGGACCTGAAAAGATGCTGGGTGTGTAGGGTTCCGAGATTCTGACCAGTTAGAAGGCTGGGGAAAAGGGATCGTGGAGTATCCAGATCCTGTCAAAGTGCCTGTTTCTAGTTCTCTCTCTCAGGAAACAAAGAAAATAAAGGAAAAAAAAAAAGATACAGACTGTCCAGACAGCTTTAACAACAATCTGGCAGACACTGCCTTTAATTTCTAGTCACAAAAACAGAGTTGGCAAAAGAAGACACATACCAAAAATATATCCTGCAGAAATTAAAAGGCACCTAACTTCACCTCTAAGCCATCTGGGAAAGGATTCATTAGAAGCAGTTTATGAGGCATAATTAGATCTTATGACTTGGGAGTGGGAGGAAAAAAGACAGCACATGAAAAGATCTTGCAGAGCAACTGGGGAACATTAAAACGGAGCACTGACCCTGTAACTTCTCTAAAAAAGGTGGCTCTACTTTTTCTGCCAAATTAATTTTTGTCATCAGACTCAAAAAGGGGACCATCTACTATTTCTCTTACCCTTCTTCCACTTTACCCAGAATAACCTTTTCATTCCAGTATTCTTTTTTGTTGTTGCTGTTGTTTTGTTTTTTGGAGAGGTTTTTTTGCTATAGGGCGCGTGCGCTCGCCAGACAGAGAGAGATAGAGACAGAAAGCAAGAAATCACCCCCCAGGGGGGATGGTCACGCTGCAATCCCTTCTCCTCCATTCTCCTCTCGGGATCTTGGGCATGCACGCACACGTGCCCGGCGTGAGTTTTAAGCCACCGGGTCTGGGACGCGAACCGCGGTCGACCATACGGGAGTCCAGCGACATAGCCATTACGCTAACTGCTGGTCTCTCCAATATTCTATTTCTAATTGAGCTGACAAATCCTTATCTTTTGCTTTTTCTTTCCTAATCAGATCCTAGTTTGGTAACCTTCAAAATATCCACCCCTGTACCAACAAGTGGTATGAAGTTAGTTAAGGTGACTAGATCTTACGTGGTCAACCACATTGGTCCAAGTTCAAGACTGGGCATCTTGACAAGTGGTGGGCACATGTGCATGTGTGCCCAAGATCCAAGAGAATAGAGGAAAGGGGACTGCAGCATGGCTACCCTCTTGGCTGTCTGAGAAAGAGGTGGGGGGTCATTGTGGGAGACTTTCATCTTTCTCCCTCTCCTTCTCTCAAGAAATAAACCTTTAAAACAAACAAACAAACAAAAACCTCTTTCTTTCTACTATTTTACTTAACTGTACATCAGATTTCTCTCCACTGTTAATGCCTCCACACGACAACCAAATTCTAGGAAAGATCTGTCACACCTTACTCTTCATAATTCTCTCCAGATGGAATATTAAAGGCAGAATGGTGCAGCTACTTCAGCTGGTCAGTATCCAAATATCTCCACAATTTCTCATGTTTATTTTCTTATGAATTTTCACTAGAACTAAAGGTTAAAAGGAAACACAAAGATGGGGGGCCAGCAGGTGGTTTGGTAGTTAAGACCCTGAACTCCTGCATGGCTGAACACAGTATGAGTCCCGAACCAGGAGACTTGCTTTCTCACTTTCTCTGTCTCTGTGTCTCTCCCTGGTGAGAGCACATTTCAATAGCAATTTTTTAAAATAATAAAATTAAATAACTCTTTAAGAACAAAAAGGAAACACAACAACGAACACACTACCTCTCATGTACTTTTGAGAGAGCGCTTGCAACTAACTATGCAAATGACCTACTACAGTACTTCACATACTCTCCATAGCACCTAGCGCCTCGGTCAATGATCCTCTCTTCAACTCCAATCACTGTGCAATTCCCTATGAGTCTGTGGATATGAATCTAAGACAGTAATGAAAGATGTTAAGGATAGCCGAACTGGGGCTCTAGGACAAAACTGTTCCAAGATACCATTCATGTCCCATTGCTCACTGATAACACCTTCCTCAGACATTTCTGGGCATTCAATCTGCCACCATCAAAGATTCATAAGCATTCAAGCCTTAAGTTATGCAAGTTAGCTCCTCCTGCTCACTACGGGCAAACGCTCTCCAATTACAGCACTGCTCAATTTCTTCAGTGGGCAATGATACCAGAATCTTCAATCAGCCACCCAGCCATTTTCCAGGAAGATCACACAAGTCTTTGTTTCTTCGTTGTCATACTGATTTTTACCTGTCAGATGTGGATAATGTCAGCTTTTATTATCACTTGTTAGCTGAATTTCACATTTTGTCCCTTTCCTGCACAAAACAATACTAACGCAAGCCAAAAAGAACAGTGTTGAAGAAACAGTGTTAGAATCAAAGGAAAAAAAGGCAAGTAATAATGTGAAAAAATACTACATTGTCAAATTCTTACTCATATTTCTCAATTTCTGTGTAAAAGTTTCAAGATATTAAATACTAAAGCACTGGAAGAGAAATGATAAGGTCTAGATCCCAGCTCTCCTGGCTCAGGGGCCAGTCTACATCAACTACAAATTCAGTCTCTCAAATCCCTTACCTTTAAAGTAGAGCTAGCATCTCTTCCAGCTTCCTCAGAAGGCTATTTCGAGGAAGGAGGATTCACCGAATTAAGTCCGATACTATGCAAGATAATCTTATTGCAAGGCAGTTTTATTGAAATGGAAGGACCACAGGAGACACACCTGGGTGTGTTCTGATAAGCCTTTCACTTGTGTAATGAGTGTCCGGGACCTCAGCTTCATCCCCTGCCAAGTGAGGACAATAATTATCTCATGAGGTTGTGAAGATTAAATAACACTGTGCATGAAAAGCACCTGGCACAAACTGCACGCCGTAAATGTTAGCACCCCGCTATAAAAAGGGTTTGTCTGCAAAACATACAATTGGCCTTTTCAGTTTTAGCCTTAGTCCTATGCAAAGATTCTAGGATTCAGTTTGCACAAGAGCTTTTCAAAGATAAGCATTTAGGAATACAATCACATTATTCAGAGAATATTATGTTTCAGAATTGCAACTAGTCTTTTAAGCTCAAAATAAAACTGAATGTGCTTAAACTTCACTGAAAAGCACATGATTTATCAGCCTGGCTCAATTACCACGTTTTTCATTTTATATTAACAAACAGTAAACTGTTGATAAAAACCATTCACCAAGCACATGACCTACGACCTAAAGCCCTATTCTGGGTTCATTTTCCCTTTCATACTCTGCAGAACATAACCAATGTGAAAAGCACCCAGATTGTGAAGTGTACAAATCGGGAGAGGCGTGGAGGACCTTTCATAAAGCCCTTAGTCCAGTCCCTGGCCAAGGTCCCCTATCTAGAAGCTCAGCTAGGCTGTCAAGGAGCAAAGAAGCGTTTTAGTGCGTTAAAGCCACAAATATGGCTGCTGCCTTAGGGAGATAATCATGTTTCTGCAAAAGAGGGTTACTTTATCTCTTTCCATTTCCCTAGCCTAGTACGGCCTCCCTAGCAGGAAAGGACTTTGGTCCATGCGTGCGGGTCCTGAACTCACCGTCCAGCATGCACCAACACCCAGGTCACCACCTCGCCTCCGAGGTGAACAGAGCCCGATGGTCTTTGACATTGCAAGACAGGCACAGCAACTTTGGGTTGCAGAAGCCAAGAGCCCAGACCTTACCCTCGCTGGAGTTCCCGACGGTCTCGGCTCCACCAGCCACGCCGCCTTCCGACGCCAGTACAGCGAGGAACAGCAGCCGCAGGAGCCCCATAACTGCCTGGGCAGAAGCGGGCCAACGCCAAGGTCGAGGAAGAGGCCGGGCGTGCGCGCCGGGGCCCCGCAGCCTCGCGCGTGCTACCCTGGGACGCTCGCGCAGGCCGCCATCGCCCGCCAGGTGCACACGCCGCGCACCTGCCAGCCCCGCAGTCGCCGGCACACGGAGCAGCCACAAACCCCAGCCCAGCAAGAGGCTTCCCGTTCCAGCAATTAGCCAGAGCCGTGCTTCCCCGCGCCTCCTCCACGGCTGTTTTGCGTCACCGCAAATGACACGCGGGCGGAGGCGGCGCTGGGGGCGTGTCCGCGCGGCGCGCACCTCCTTCCGCGTTCCCGGAGCCCCGAGAAAGTCTTGGGTGAGGCCCCTGCTTCTCGCTTTTATCTCGCTGGTTACGAAACCCACCGTTGGGGTACAAAAACCCTTCACGTTGCGGCCTAACGTCTCCAGCTCCTGATCTCCTGTATAACGGTCTTTTGCAAAGGGAACACCAACAGAAAAGGATTCTGGTGTTCCTTTAACCCACTCCCAGCACTTAGAGGTCGCTTTCCCCCGTAGCAATTTCCTCGGCGGTCCAGGCAAATGTTAGTATAAGAAGGCCAGTGAATGTTATTTGCTGTTTTGGTGGCGGTTACTGTGCTAGTGATGAACATCACATTTAAAAATAAAGTTTTGGGCCGGCAGATGGCGTAAAGGTTAAAGCGTTGAACTCCCACATGGCTGACGGTGGTTTGTTTGAGTCCCAGATCTTGTGGCATACTTTCCTCATTTTCCTTTTCTCTCTCTGTCTCCCCGGTCAAGTTAAAAATAATCATAACGATGAATAAAATGAAGTAAAATAATAATTTAACAACAAATAATAAAGTTTCATCTTCTCTAAGCGAGAACACCCTGAGGACGAATGACCTTAATCTGAACTTGCTCTACGAAGTCTCATACCTGAGTGATGTTTAAGGGTCTTTAGTTCTTGTGAGAAGTGGTTAGTAAGATGATTGCGGAATTAGATTTATAGACTCAAAGTTATTTGGGGAAGATCACCCTGTTTTCCTTTCCTGCTTTTAAAATTTATCATTTATATATTTTAATGAACAACTAAATCTTGGTAATAACATGTCGTGTTCATCCACTACTAAGCTAACAATCTATACCAATGACCAAAATATTAACAGGCACAACCTCTCTTCTGTTGCCCCGCTACCTGGTCCTCATGTTCACACCTTTGAAAACATCCTCTGTTCTCATGGTGCTTATTCACTTCCCATCTCCCCCATTCTTATAACCCTTAGTAAATGAAACCTCAGGGAGATGAGAGGAGCAAGTATGATAAAGGTAGTATTTGAGTCAGTAGATGGATCATTAATAAATTGTCCTAGTAATTGGTTAGCTGCACTGTATCAGGCAGGGTAGATTAGACTAACTCACACTTTCAAAATAAAATCCCAACTAACACATAAAACCATAAAGAGAGCTAGGAGAAAATGTGTGTGTGTGTGTGTGTGTGTTTAAGAACCTGATCTCAGGGGAACCAGCAGTTAGCGTAATGGCTATGTCACTGGACTCACATAGTCGACCGCAGTTCGCGTCCCGGAGCCGGTGGCTTAAAACACGCCGGGCACGTGTGCGTGTGTGCCCAAGATCCCGAGAGGAGAAGGGAGGAGAAGGGACTGCGGCGTGACCATCCCCCCTGGGGGGTGATTTCTCTCTTTCTGTCTCTATGTCTCTCT